ATATATATATATATATATATATATATATATATATATATATATATATATATATATATATATATATATATATATATATATAAAGACGACGAATGTGAATCTAGGTGAGGTCAAGGACCGAGAGTATGATTTTCGTCTACAACTCTGTTTTGTTAATGGAGAGAAATTTCTTTTCACTCCTCACCCAAACGAAGTTTTCTCACCTCGTTTAGGTGGGTCCTCGTGAAGCCTCGATTTTATGAGTTAAATGGACATATGAGATCTTACATTGGAATTTCTTAATAGGAGGAGGCAAAGAAAGAAACCACATCGGCATTGCTCAAACTTACTAAAGAACAAATTGAAAAGCTGAAAAAGAGAGCAAATTCAAACCTAACCAATCAAACTATGGACGTGGCCGATGAAGTACAACCACGACCGTACTCTCGATTTGAGGCTATTACCGGACACATGTGGGTTTGTGCATGCAAGGCTCGCAATACCGGCGAGAGTCGACAACCGACGGTGATTCGTATCCCTATTGACGTAAGAAGACGGATGAAGCCACCCATCCCAGAAAACTTCTCAGGGAACTCATCCTTCGTCGTCTCAACGCCAGAGTGTGAGTTTGGCGAATTGATGTCTCAACCATTGAGCTATGCTGCAGGAAAGATAAGAGAAGGAACATGGAAGATGACAGGTGAATACGCGCAATCAGCGGTAGACTATCTAGCAGGGCAAGATGACTTTAACCGGTTGAGAACATCATTCCACTCCAAGGTTCCAGTCCAGGCTTCGTTTTGGGGCAACCCTAATCTTTCAATAGGGAGTTGGATGTCGTTTCCGTTTTATGAGGCAGATTTTGGCTGGGGACGACCGAGTTACTTCACGCCAGCAACGTTAAACACCGATGGAAAGTCCTACATAATGGTGGGGCCATCAGATGATGGGTCGCTCATAATAGCGATACGGTTGCAAACAAGGCATATGGATGATTTCAAGAAGTATTTATACGAAGATATATAAAAATTCGAGAAACACTGAAATCGTTACTGTTGAGTAATCTCTATGTTTCCGTTTTTTCTTGCATGTTGTTCATGGTTGTCACCCTAGTTTGTTATAAAGTCAAGCTATGTTCTTCTTTCTATGTAATATTTTGTTCGGTTTTGGTTTGTCATGTTGATGATATTTAATCTTTCATTTCGGTTTATCGTATGCATTATATTTGACCCATTGCTTATATGGATTGAAGTGTTGAAAGGAAGAAGATGATAAGCGAACTCGGAAGCCGTGAAGAACAAATGATCGGGGTTACTAAAACCACCGCACCTAAACGATGGGGAACATTCTCTATTTATAATCATTTACATAATCAAATAGATTACAAATGAAATGGAAAGAACAATAAATTGATACAGGATATTAGCCTATGATCAAGGGTCAAATATGATACATATAGTAAACCGTAATGGAAGACTAATTATTCTCGACAGTCCACGTTATCTTATTTGAATTGGACTATAATTAGAATTAGACCTAACATGTATCACGTTGTTATTTTAAAAGTGTTCAACAATGTAACGACCCCACAATTTCTTTTAAATTAAGACACATATAGTTACTATTATGAGCGAAAAATTATTCAAAACGTTCTTCGTAATCTTTATTATAACTACAATATCGTCCATTTAAACCTTTATTATAATCTTGTTTTAAATCCTACCGATACATAATTCTCACAAAACGTTTCATTAATATAATATTATATCTAATTTTGAATTTATTTTAAATGTAATAAAATGAAAATGGTTAAATCAGATAATGTAAGTTAATTCATTAGGAAAACTTTTAACATTTTAATTTTAAAGTTACAATAGATGAAAATATAAGATTTATGAGTTAAAATTGATTTTTTTTTAAAAAAAATAGCTGTCAAACATAAAACATGGAAAGGAGAGCCAACTGGAAGACAGGTGAGCTTTATGTGTTACACGAAGACACTACTTGTCGGGTTCTTTTTATTTATTTTTAAAAAATTTTATTTGTCTGAATTAATAAAATTCAAATATTAGATATTCATAACTTATATATTATTAGCCTAAGTTAAAACAAAATTAAATTAAATACTCCTCATTTTTATAATAATAGCGGTTAGAATTAGGTTGAATTGTAACTTTATTTTTAAGTTGACTGAGTTGATTTAGTAAAAAAAAATATATAAACCAGTGAACCAATCAAAATTCAACCCAACAGTTTGGATTGCGTAATTGATCGAGTTCTCGGGCCATATATGAATACCTCTAATATCTACCAGTGATCTATGGAAATCATGTCTGCTTTGTCATAGTCTATAAAAAAAAATTTGTATGTGACAACGAGAAAATGACAAATATTTCTATTGACCTTGCTATATCTTAAAAAACATAAGATGAACGTTGTTTATTAAATAAGACATTAATTATTATAGAAAATACTATGAATAGTACGTGATCATGTCGCATGAAATATAGGAAATATTATGAATATGAAATACTAAATTCCAATAAGTAAAAAGTACGTGACCATGTCAAATGGATATAGTAAAATACTATGGATATCAAATACTAGATATTAAATATTTTGTTGTCTGGTCTTGTGCGTCTAGAATACCGCTATTTACATGTCTCCACATTTGAATCAAATTATTTGTAGCAATTATAAAGTATGACGTATCGATAATGTTACAAGGATAAGCAACAAACCTTATTCACATACTGAATACCTTTAAGTTATTTCTCGAACATTATCATTTTGATTACAATAATTCATGGATAATATTTAATGAAATAATCAAAATTTGTGTAATAGCCCAAGCCAACTACTAATAGATATTGTCTGTTTTGGCCCATTATATATCCACGTCAGCCTCACGATTTTAAAACGTGTTTCCTAATGAGAGATTTTCAAAGCCTTATGAGAAATGCTTTGTTCCACTCGATGTAGGATCTCATAATCAGTCCTTATGTACTTTCGTTTGAAGTTAAAAGTAAAAAAGAAAAAAAAAATTACCAAAATATCCTCTTTCGTCCATAGCCTACATTAATCGATCTGATAAACACGGAAGTCTTTTAAAGAAGTTGACAGTCGAAGACGGCAACCGGACTCGAAAAACTGGGTGCCGGAGGTAATAAAACCCGCACGCCACCGCAACCATCCTCAACGGCACCACATATAGGACCACCGCCACTGCAAAGCATATTGCTGTGAATATCCCGGTGGCGCGTGGATCTTGCCATGTCACCAATGCCTGCATGCGCTCAACTTGAGTCGCTAAATCCCCCAATAAGTGCTGCACACGCGCCCCAATTGCTCTCAATTTATCATACCTCATCCGTACAACTTCCGGCGATCTCGTGCTCGGCATGCCGTCGAACTCCTCATCCAGTTCGTCCATTTCGACGGTGTCAACCATCGATAGCTTCGAATCAAAATGCGGGAGAAGCCCCTGTGACCGGAATTTGTAGTTCCACGCGCTGGTGACGAACGCGTAGAATGAAACTGTCGGAATGATGAGATCAGGAAACCAGATTAGAATCACCAGAAGTGCGTGGACGAGAATCGTAGAAGTCGGATTCCGCCACGATCGAGTGTCGTCGACCCATTTCACGGCGGCGATCACCGTGGTGGCTACGTTGATGATTCTGTACCAATTTGCTCGGACTTTCCGCATGCTGAAGCCGTGCGATTCGGCGTCGAGCATGAATAGTATGATCTCTCGCCGGAGTGGCGGCTCCGATCTCGAGAGATTGCCAACAACCGTCTCCACCGCCGCGATCCGGAGCTGTTCCTGTTGCCGGATTCCGAGGGGCTTCACGTGGTGCATCAACGGCAGCAGTGGCTGCGAATACACGTGGATGAAATCGAACGGCGGCGCCGTTCGGACAAATCTGACGGCGATTTCCAGTTCGCCCATTTTCTTGGAGCCGGCCGCGGAGAGAAGTAAGAGAGGGTAGAGATTTCTGTACACCTTTCCGGTTTTCAATGTAGAGATTCGGATTCGGACTTTGCCGACTAGTGAATCGGGCCCCGCCGGTTCGGTTGAACCGTCGGTTTTGGGTTCTTCTGTGCTGTCGAAAACTCCGATGGTCAAAACCGTACATGGGTCGTAAACCTGGTAGAAATACAATTTTATGGTTAATTTTTAATTATTTTATTTATTTTTTTCCACTTTTGATATTAAATATTTAAATTTAATTTTTAATTGTTTCCTAAAAATTAAAATTAATTTTAAAGATAAAAAGGGCTAATAAAAAGTAAATAGAATTTAAATACTAATATTATAGAAAAAAAAGTATTTATTCGATTTTTCATATGAATTTTTTAATAATATTTAAATAAGTAATATATGTATGTATGATATTTAGTAAAATATTTTTCTTCATTAATATTATTATTAAAATTTAAATTATATTTATAAACTATATTTATAAAAGAAAAGTTAAAAAATATTTTATTAAAAAATAAAATATTTATACGGCCAAAATGGTTAGCAGTCAATTTCAAAAATATTTGAACAAAAGATGCTTTTATATGTATATACCTGCCACGTGTACTGCTCGTTCCATTTCGGGTCAAAACTGTTGCAAACCGTCCGGGTTCGGACCCACTTCGATCCGTACTTGGCTACACAGTACGCGTCGGTGGAGCCTTTTCCAGCCGCCGTCGACTTCATCGGGACCAAATTCTTACACCCAATCACACCGATCTCGATCAAACCCACCGACGGCTTCCACAGCTGCCTTGCTGTCGGGCGGTAGTCACTGCTCACGTGCGCCGCCTCATCCATCACGTGATACCCACCGTCAAAACATAACCTCACATGAATCCTTCCCTTGTACGGCGATTCCTTCTCTTCCACCAGACCAGCAAGCGTGCACCACCGCGCCGTCACTATCCGATCATCCACGCGCCGCTCGATTTCGGTGAGTGGGATTCTAACGACCCCCACGGCAGCCGGATATTTCGAGCTACGGCGACTCTCGAGGGTGAAGACCAAGTGGTCGGTCATCGGCTCGGCGGCGACAAAGAGTAAATCCTCGTTCCACGACGGAGCACCGTTTTGAGTCACGGCGGGTCTGGTTACCGAAACTTGGAAACCCAGTTGGGCTCTGACTTGAAACGAAGCTTCTTTCACGGCGGTGATCGGAACGACGTCTTGGGCTTCGATGACGGTGGCGCGTAGATACCAAAGCTTCGGCGATTGGTAAATTTTTGCTCTAGAGTTGAACTTCCCAGCGGCGTCTGTCTTCACCGCCTCGTTAAACGCGTCATCCGCTTGCGTACCAATCCACGTGGCCAACATTAAATACCCGCCAAAAGCGACGTCGTTTCTTTCTGTTTCTAATCTGTACCATTGTGGGGCCAGGGGAATGTCGGGTTGATCCCGCAGGAGAATATCTGACACCTCGAAACACAAGGCACCTAAGAAATTGCCTTTGTCCACGTCGGATGCTGATGATACGACACCGTTTTTTGTGTCCCAGACAGAAACTTCCATGATGGAGGCGGAATCTGCTGCTTTGCGGCTAAATGCAAAAGTCTGATCCCACTCGAACACGTGGCTCTTTTTGGCTGGCTCTGATGTGATGCGTTCACCGAATGCTTCGATTTTAACGATCGGACGGTTGCTAGTGGCAAGTGCGCGTGCTTTTACTACTCGCACAAAGAGGTAGTACATCTTCTCAACGAGATCGAATGTGGACCGTTCGATTGTTTGACTTTCTTCTGACTCCAGTGTGTAACTTGATACTGCCGCCGGTCTTTTGATTGGCTTTGGCGCATACGCCGGTGGTATCGTTTGAATTTGATCGACTCCCGGTGACTTTACCGGCGGTGGTGGGTGGGATTCAAACGGCGGCGTTTCAGCAGCAGAAGCTGCAGCTTCTACCGGAGTAGTACTCTCAACGGCCGGAGATTCAGCTGCCAAAGCTGCAGCACCATCACCGACCGGAGTTTCAGATACCGAAGCTGCAGTACCATCACCGGCCGGGGTTTCAGCTGCCAAAGCTGCAGTACCATCACCGGCCGGAGTTTCAGCTACCGAAGCTGCAGTACCATCACCGGCCGGAGTTTCAGCTACCGAAGCTGCATTACCATCACCGGCCGGAGTTTCAGCTACCGAAGCTGCAATGCCATCACCGGCCGGAGTTTCTGCTGCGGAAGCTTCTCTGCCATTACTGGCCGGAATTTCTGCTGCTGCAGTCTCATCAACGGCCGGAGTTTCAGCTACCGAAGCTGCAGTGGCATCACTGGCCGGAATTTCTGCTGCCGAAGCTTCTCTGCCATTACTGGTCGGACTTTTGCCGATGGGTTCGCCGCCGTCTGTTTAAAATATGAACAAAAAATTGAATTCACAGCAATTAAAGATTTAATATGAAATTAAAAAATAAAATATAAAATTTAATGTTCAAATTCACCTTGATGTTTCAAAGCAGGGGATTGGTTTTGCTCTGCCTCTGATCTTATTGCCGGTAGTGAGTCCTCGACAGAATTAACAGCGCCGCCTTCCTCAACCGGCGGCAGCGGAGTAGAAGGCGGCGGCGCAATCCCATCTGAGTAATAAATTCTCAAACCAATCTCTCCTTGAACCCAACTAAAGAGGCTTTTTTTCTCCAAATGAAAATAAATCAAAGCTTCCTCCCCTTTCTTCACAAATTGCATGGAACTCAGCCTAATCCGCCCCATAAAGTTGCTCCGAAGCGTCGGTCCGTAGCTCCGATCATGGATCACATCAAGCTCCAAAACATCCCCAAACACGCTCGACGGCGGCCCGACATTGAATTCAAGAACCTCATTCCATGTCGGGTTCAAGTCCCGGACCGCGGTCGCTGTTCGCTTCCGCTGGCCAGAGTAGCTGACCGCCGCATAAGGACTCGAGGTTCCATGTTTGTCTTTGGGCAAGAGACTGCGAGCATCCACGACTTCGACGATCAGCTTCCTCAGATGGCCGGCGGCCATGTGAATTACAGAGAGAGCTATCTCCGGTGGAAGAAAAAGGGGTAAAGATGAAGTATGGAGATGATAGGATGATTGTCTTATGGTCTTTAAATTTGTGTTGTGCTTAACCTCTTGGCCAAGCAGCTTTATTCAGACACTTTTCTTTTATGCTTTACTTAATGTGAAGGAGAATTGGAGTTTTCTAACGACCCCTTAACGTCTCGTGTAACAAATTAGAATCATAAATTGTCGTGTTTAATGAGCTACCCGTTTCTCGTGTCACAGCTATCATGATGATTGAAATGACAAAATATTGAGTTAAGACATTGAACACGACTCGTTACAAATTGAGATGATATAAATGTAACTACTGAAATGATTCGTGTACGATCTTTTGGTATGATAAGTAGGTTGATACGTAGACTGAGAACAATAGAATAAACCGAAATATAGAGTGTACGTTTCGCCAAGTCACGTAACATTTAAGTTGAATCCTAAACCCTAAATATCGGTTGGAGTATACAAATTATTTTGTTAATACAGCAGGGTGTTTGTTAGTAAGACAAGAATCTAACTTTCGGGTGCAATTACATTAAAATTCAGTGTCGTGTCACTTTAAACCAACTTTGAGTACGACATGCAAAGTATGACCGGTAAGTACTCGAACAGCATGTTGCCAAATGCTTCATAAAAACAAACTAAGCATTACTTACTCAAATTACTTAATGAACAAGTTGAAGAAACGTTACTCGAATCGGGAGCTCGATTTTATGTTTCGTTTCAAATTTGAGTAAGACAAGCGTGCTTGGTCGGAGGGTCGGAAGGTTAAAAAGGGAAATATATGTAAAGAAAACAAAGCAAATGGTTGAAAGCAAGTTTGAAAAGAAATAGAAGAAGAATTATGTAATAGTGAAAGATGAGTCAAAAAGGAGTGCCTTTTGTTCATAAATAGCTTACTTTAGTGTCACACACCCACTATTTAATATTGTGTGACAAAGATGTCAGCCACACCACTACCCAAAATCTAACTTTGGCAAACTTCTATAAATCTAAACCTTTTTCTATATATGTATATGTATGTATATGTATATGTATGTATATGTATATGTATATGTATGTATATGTATATGTATATGTATGTATATGTATGTATATCTATATGTATATGTGTATGTATGTATATGTATATGTATGTATATCTATATATATGTATGTATGTATATGTATATGTATATGTGTATGTATGTATATGTATATGTATATGTATATGTATGTATATCTATATATATGTATGTATATCTATGTATATGTATATGTATATGTATGTATATCTATCTATATGTATGTATATGTATATAGATATATAATAATAATTGAGGATGTGTATACCGATGAAATTATCTATCTGTATGTATATGTATGTATATCTATCTATATGTATATATTAGTAATGCGTTATGAATTGTGGATAAATAGTATTTTTTTAAAAAATATATATGAAACTTCGGGTTATCCAAAAGATTTCTCCAACTTAATTCATGTATACTCCTAAATATATTTTAAAATTCAAACAATTTAGTTAGTAGATGCTCTAAATAACTCGGATGAATGGATGTTTAGGATGTCTTGATGAGGTGATCGACACATGGGTCAGTTCCCAACAGATGTGTTTGAGAAGCCAAGATGGCTGACGTGTGTTGAGGCATAAGACGACATCAGGATGCATAGATCGTGTTATTGGGAACTGAGATGACAATGAGACGCGACATGATTGTGTCGCACACGATTGAACATGCACGCACGAACAACATGTGGGTGTACAAGCTTGGATTTCGACGAAGCCATAAAGTCGAGCAAAAAATATGAATTGGCCTTGAGTCTCTCTTAAGGCTTTGTCATGAGATGTCAAGATCACAACGCTGCATAATTCAAGGACAACTCTGACATTTTGCTCAATTTTTGACATCATATGATATTACCCACTTTTGTATAAGATCTCATACAGCTAATATTCACCCCTATATGTTTTACCGAGCACCTCCCTTGTCCCAAAACTCCTTTAATGCTCACTCATTTTAAAAGTTGATATGCTGATTTTGATGTATTTCTCAACTCGTCGATCATTTTTAAAAAAATTGGAAGAATTTTGCCACCAGATTTATTTGGATCCGTTAAGGATATTTAGTAATAAATTATAGTTTACCATATATAATATATTTGATATTTTATTATAAGGCAAATATCTAACATTTGCCTTATTACTATAGGTATCTTTCCATTTATTACTATTTCCATATCCTTGTAATTTATTTGATTATAAATAAGATAACTTTCACACCATTTAGGTGTGGTGGATTCAGCAAACATTCACATGGTATCAGAGCCATTTTGGTTTAGCAACCTAGATCCTTTCTTTTCAATGGCTTTTGAAATCTTCTACTGTTCTTCTCCACCACCACTGTTGTCTTTGATGCCGCAGGGGCAGTCGTCATGGCTGTCACATGCAGGTGTGAAAGTTATCTTATTTATAATCAAATAAATTACAAGGATATGGAAATAGTAATAAATGGAAATAACAATAAATGGAAAGATACCTATAGTAATAAGGTAAATGTTAGATATTTGCCTTATAATAAAATATCAAATATAATATATATGGTAAACTATAATTTATTACTAAATATCCTTAACAGGATCGAAATGAAGATTTCTATGGTTCGGGGCACTGCTGGTAATTTCAATGATAATCGTAACGAGAATGGGGAAGGAGGATTTGAATCTCCGATCTCGAACCAAGGCGAAAACGAAGTTCGAAGAGTATTTAGATATGGAGATAGGCATGCAGAACCATAGATTGTCTGCTGAGTAGGAATTAGAATTAGAACTAGAACGAAAACTTGCCCAGAAACTAAAGGTCAAGGCTCGCAAGTTAAGGAGCTTTTATAATTTATTTATTTATATTTATTTATTTTTAAATCAGAATTTAATCACTATTTATAATTTTCTCTTAAATTTATCTAAAATTATAAACCTCTTAAATTTATCCTCTTATTATTAAAAAAAAAAACATTCTTAGATTTTCAAAATTTTAAATAGTATTTTTAAATTTTAAAAAAGTCTACTACAAAAATAGTAACTTTTAATAGTTTAAAAAAATAAGTTTAAAGTTTTTTTTTTTAAAAAAAAAATACATATGAAATTTTAAAATTAACCTCAACCCTCCTTCACTAAAAAAAATTAAAGACAATAATCCCATACAATCTCTCAAATTATATTGAAACTTTTTAATATTACTCATTGACGGTTAACCATTTGATTAAAAAAATATATATAAATTCTCTTTGATTTAAATATTTTTAAATTTAAGAATATTATTGAAATTAAAGAATATTTATTACTTTTTTGGAATAGGTAATTTATTAATTTTGTATTATTCTTTATAATATATTTTTTAATCATAAAATATTTAAATTTAATATTTTATTTTATTTAAATTTAATATTTTATTTTAAATCTTAAAATTAATTTTATTATCCATTTAAAATTAAATTTTTTTAAATATAATAATAATAATAATAATAATAGTAGTGGTGGTAAGAGCAATAGTTTTTATTTCTTATAAAATATATGATAAAAAAAAACGTAACTTCTCCCAAGTAAAATAACGAAATAATTACCTATATTAAAAAAAATATTTTTTTTATTTTATATTTTGTTAGAAAAAATGAAATTTATTGTTGCGTGTAAAACATTAGTTGGAAATGGAACGAAACAATTTTTATAATTAATATAAAATCACTAAAATTATTGGGGGTGAAGAAAAAATGGAGAATTAAATTGAAAATTTTGAACACTAAATTGAATAAATTATATTTAATAAAATTATATAATTATATAATTATGATTTTGAAATTAGAGATAGATATTTTAAATTTAAATTGTTTAGATTTATCTTAAACATTTATTTAATGATAAATTGGAATTATGTTTGAGAGATCCGAATGAAAATTTAAATTCAAAATTAGAAGTTGGAGATTTAATTTAAATTTTAAGAGATTTGTAAATAAAATCAAATAGAAAATAAAATGAAAATGAAAAATCAAAGATGTGTACCCATTTAAATTTTAAATTAAAATTTATATTAAATTACCATTTTAGTCTTTTTCCCACACTTTTTTCTACCTAATTTTCTGTATTGTCCCAGATTTAAAATTCACACGTAACCTTATTTCAATTTTTTTTTAATTTTTTCCCATTTAAATATATTTTTGAATTTCATTTTTATATACATATTTTAATTTTTAATTTATATTAAAAATAATTTTAGTAAAAAAAATAAAAATTGTTTGTTTTATTGTCTACCGTCTATGTATTTTAAATTGCATAGAGATTTCTACGCACCTCTCGTGAATTTGTTCTGTCACGTTATAACGTATTTGTTATTATTAAATTAAAATAATTTTTATAATAATTATAGTGTTCATAAATTAATTAGTTTGGCTAATATAAATAGCTTCAATTTTTATAAATAATAGAAAATCTCATTCTTAAATATACTATCAAATATATATTAAAAATTTTAAAGTAAAAAATAAAAGAAAAAAGAAAAGTATCTCTTTTAAGGACCGACGGCTCCTGATTTTGGCCGAACCAACCCGTGTCGGTCAACCCCGTAAATTCTCACCCTCTCCATATATAAATTTAAAAATTAAAAAAAAAACAATAAAATAAAGTAGACAAACTTCACATTATTTAGTACTGCAGAAAATTTCACAATTTTTTTTTTTTTTTGTGTAAATGTACGAATTTCAATAATTTAATGAGGGAAGGAGGAGATTTCTAGTTAGCTAAACGGGGCGAAGAACGAAGGTTCTCCCTTTTATATATATAAATAAAGCAATAAATAATATATATATATATATGGGCTCAAACTTGGGCTAGACGTATCTGTTGGGCTGATATAATCTCAATGGGCCTAACTTGGGCTAGACGTATCTGTTGGGCTGATATAATCTCAATGGGCCTAACTTGGGCTACACGTATCTGTTGGGCT